GAAAAGTAGTATTTACGGATGCTTAAACCATGCTTAAAGTCATCGTATATTTCATCTTTACGCATCTATACACCTCCTATATGAGTACGTAAAGATCGTCGTTACGTGGTCTTTCCGTAGGAGCGGATGGATCCTTATTTTCCGGTTTTCACTAGCCTTTCAGCAACTTAAAATGTCATAAATAATGATTAAAACACGTTTAAATTGTAATTTAAGTTGACGTTTTTTTCTTCTTTGAGCATTTAACTGATGCTATACTGTACGTGTGTGCTAGAAAGGTTACATGTGCAAAGCTTATTGAAAGTTTTGGAGGAATTCTTTAAAATCAGGATCATCATATTCATATCATACTTTTATGTGACATAGATATGAGACAATTTTTTACCTGTCACCATCCCAATGAAGATATTCCGGAAACTGGCTGTATCATACACCCAGCATGCACCACGGCTTCCGCAAATGGACTGCCATAACAGGCAGGCGTTGTCAATGGCAACGCCAAAGTAGATGGGAGCAGGTATGGCGGCTGTGGGAAACAAATTCAAAATTTTACTGAGCCATATTTTTGTATATGTAGTAGTAGTTGATTGTTCATATTTTTACGAAGAAAACATTCATACCATAAGTTGGAGAGTATTTTTGGCTTGCAACTCACCGAGAAGTTCCGTGAAGAGATTTTGTAGCCCGAGAGCGTACGTCTTGTCCGCCTTCCTCACGGATCTGGAGAAAAGATAAGAAATCCACTGTTTCCTTTCCGACGATCTACTTCTGATTAATATTATTTTGTAGATCTAAGAAAAATGTTATTCCGGTTGCAGTACTGAGATAAATAGGGTTGGTAGGGATTTTTTCAAAATTAATTTGAAGTACAATGCACCATATATGTATAACATACCTTCACGAAAAAACATCAATTGTTAGGTAAAAGACTACAGAGCTAGAGTTATAGGACACTTCAACGGCCTTTTACCTACCCAAAAGTTTTTGGAACGCCCATTTCCTGTTATGTTATTCGTTATTGACTGTATTATTCTATGTCAGTGATGAGGCTAAAATTGGCAATAAAATTTGCTATAGAAGTTATCCAACACTGTGCCTTGTATACGTACTTTTTCTGTTATTCAATAATAATTAAAAATATTGGCTGTCGAAGAAAAGTACAAAAACTTAGCAGCGGGTGGTTTCGATCCACCGACCTCTGGGTTATGGGCCCAGCACGCTTCCGCTGCGCCACGCTGCTGTTCGCAATGTTGGGAGTGGAATTTATACATACATTCCTATACTTCAACCAATGAACTTAAGGTACTGACAGAGGGTGGCTGATAAAAATTTCAAAATAATGTTCAAGAAAACGACCGCATATGATTTGGTGACTATGTAGCTCTATTTTCGTAATCTGGCATGTTTGTTCCTCAAATGTTGCTATTTGGCCGCAAAATTCACCAAATAATCCAGTGCAAAGTTACAGTTTACAACGTGGGTGCCGATGCCTTTTGGAACAGCCTGACCAATAAGGGACCCCCACGCTGGAGCGAAAGTTCCGTTGCACCAATAAGCTCACAGCTCACCTTAATATGATGATAACTCCCGGAGTGTGTCCCATTCCGGTCAGGACAGCGATGAAAGCCGTGACCACCACAAAATGGATGGACTTGGCTGAGCAGGCAGACAGGCACTGTCCCGGCATGGCCACTACATCAAGGGGTATGCAGCTGCAACTGCTGAAGTTCTAGCAAATACAAAAAATAGAAGAAGAACTATATTGCACGACAATTGCACGTGGTACAATGTATGGTAAACTACATAAAGAGAGTAACAACAATAAATAAGTGTGCTGAATAAGACCTAATGTCGAATAAAACCTAACATATCTATATCATAATTGTTCAAATAATAAGGGATAGCACAAGTCTTTGATAAAGTGTTACAATCAAGTGGACTAATCACAAGTTTCGGTATTTTTTCTAATAGCAAAGCATTCCTTTATATAACTACCTATTTTTGCATTGTGGGGACCATTACATGTAAAGATATATTCAAATCTGTCTCCAACATCGAGACTCTTGAAATCTATGGTACTTGATTCGAGATAAACTAAGCACCAAAAATGTATGTTTTCATTCACTCAGATGTTCTTTTTATGGATGAGAATGCACGTACCACAGCAAATATAGTTGACCAAGCAGCATTTACACTTTATTTTGGGGATAAAAGCTCCGTGTACATATATTGTACGTTGTATTTTCATTATTGTCAGACGCCATTTTGAATTTGATCACGCGAGAACACATCCTGACGGGATTATACGAGAGGTTGCAGCGAAACGAGGCTCGAGAGTGTCAGGGAGGGGGGGGGTGTCATTGAAGTTGATTGAAGTCATGACAACCATGCATAGCAGTAGCAAGTCATCTTTTGTTGTCAATTTTCTTTCAGGAAGATATTTCTATAATCATAATTATCAGTCCATAATCCAAAATATTATACGTAACCGTCTTAAAATCATCGAGGAACAAAGGCGACATACTAGTAGTATAGCCTGGGTACCATCCTGGTTAGTTTACGCCCGCTCCCACAGTCGCTACCGACTAACCATGGTACCCAGGCTAGACATAGTATAGAAACCATCATGGTAATAAATTTATTCCCATGGTAGGTACAGAATTTTCTGCCTTACCCCAGGCCCGTATGACTCCTTGCATCCCGCCATGCACGGCGAGAAGTACGTCCTCCAGTCGGCACCACAGACTGGGGTAAAGGACGTCTGTGAGCATGCGCAGTTGGCGTTGCAAGACGAGTTGAGGCTGAGGACTGGTTGCGAGTTGCTGGTTTCATTCGAGAAACTGTAAAAAAAAGTTGACACCGAGTCTTATCCTTTTAGTTATAAGAATACAATTTTGCACTTTGTAGTGTTTTATATCTTTTACCTTGAACATGATATGATCATAATCATATATGCATTACTTTTTTTTGGAGTAGTTGATGTGCTGATTTTAAAACACGTTCAGACTAAATAGAAAGCTAGAACGAATGCCTAATCCTTACATAATTTCTGTAAAAATGAGCCTGAATATGTTTTAACATTAGCACGGCGAAGCACGTAAAGTAATAATTTTTTAACTTCTTCTGATTGTCTCTACCTGTAGCTCTACCCACCTCCAATACGGAACTGTGACCCCTGACATCTGTAGGCTGTCGCAGCCGAAGGCGTAGAGCGAAGAGTACAAGATCAGGGCCAAGATCTCAACCGTCACAAAGAAGTTGATGCAGCCCACGGTTGTCAGTTTAAATCTCTTCACAAGGTAACCGCCCATGAGGAGTCCAAAGGCCGTTCCTGCAACGGCCCCTGCACCTGTGTATGCGGTACAAAAAAGGAAGTATTGTTTTCGGTCGTAATAATAGATCGTTTGTGTGTTTGAGTCGAGTCCGCATGCACCTGTATACGGTACAAGAAAGTTTTTACTTCCGGGAGTATTGTTTTGGGTTGCGTTAATTAACAGTTTGTGTGTCTGTGTCGAGTCCGCAATAGGACCTGGAAAATTGAGTCACTTGTAAAGGAAAGAAGATGTACGTAGACGTAGTGCGTTGTACCGTCAACAGCCCTACCTGTTCGTAGTATTCTGTCGTCGACTTTGTGTGTTTACAACTAAACGTACGTACTGATAAAATTCATAACAAATATCTTACCTACTAAGAAGTTGGCCTGTGAGGCTGTTAGGCTATACTGTACTTCCATGAACTTGGCCTGGAACGAGGCTAGTCCGTGTGTGGAGCTGAGTTCGGACACCACACAGAACACCACGCCCATGTACACGCCGTTCAGCACAAGCCGCTTCAGGGCTGACGGGATACCTGCGAAAACGGCGGGAAAATGGAAGAGATTGGTTACGACAGCATGTCGGCAGAACGTACTGCACCCGCACGAAACCCGTAATGTATTGTGCATAGCAGCGTATATAAGGTTAACATTCCGTATATAAGGTTAACATTTAACATAGTTATAAACACAGCAGTTGTGCATCCATACCAGCCTCTACAAGGCTTCGGGAGGCGGTTAAAAAGAATAGAAATCGGCCAAATAGAGAAATAACATGCCACGGGAGCGGCAAACTGTTCTCTCTAGAAGACTAACTCCCATGGCATGTATTTGGTCGATTTCTACTCTTTAAATTCGCCTCCCGAAGCCTGGTATAGGCTACATACATACCTCTGATTATTTCTTTTGCTGACAACTCCTGCTTGGGTTTCTGAGCCCGCTGCTCGAGCGTCTTCTGGTATTTCTTATCCCGATGTTTCATCTCGTTCGGCATGATGAAGAAGGGGAGGCTGACCACGAAGAAGGCGGCGGAACAGACCAGGAACCCCGCCCACCACGCGCCAACCCACCGCGGATCCCTGCGGAGAAATTTGCTAACAGTTAATGATGAAATAACGTTGTTTGGATTTAAAACTTTAGATCCAACACAAAAAGTTGTCTCACCTAGAGCTTTCGACCAGTCACTCTGGTCTTCCTCAGTAGACTGACCCAGTGAGGCTTGTCACGTGGCTTCTTTGGGTCAGTCTGTTGAGGAAGACCAGAGTGACTGGTCGACCGAAAGCTCTAGGTGAGAGAACTTTTTGTGTTGGATCTAAAGTTTTAACTCTAAACATGTAACTACCAACACAGATTAACTTTCATGATAGTATGAAATAACGTTGTTTCTACATTCGGGGCGGAAGTATTGTTTTCGGTCGCGTTAGTTGATAGTTTGTGTGTTTGTGTCGAGTTCGTACTCGGAGTATTGAGTTATTTAAGGCTGAGTTCTATAGAAATTGTATGATTCGTTAACATCACCTTGGGTTGTGCTTACCTGGGATCTATAGTCACCGTAGACAGGTCGACAGACCCGGTATCCACGTACACGTTCAGAAACGCGCCACTGATAAAGAAGCCTGCAACTGGTGCGATCACCAACATACAGATGTTGATGCCTGCAGAAGGGAAAGAAAATTCCAAGTTGAGTCTCTCAGAATGTTTAGATACTGGATGTGACAGGGAAAACAATCTAATGTTCTTGCAACATGCAACAAGAAAAGCTGCAATGCCCTTTTTTTACGCAACAGATGTTAACAGGTGGTTGGACCAAGTGCTTGGGGGTGTTTGTAAAACTTCCGAAAGATTATGCCAATGACATATGGGGCATGGGGGTGTTTGTGAAACTTTCGAAAAACTTTGCCAAGTGCATGGGGGTTTTGTGAAAGTTCCGAAAGACCTTCATAATTGTGCTCACAATGTACATGGTTCGTCATTTACCGAAACTACGAAGTGCAGTTAAAAACGTGTCGCAAGGAGGCGCTTTTAGTACACCACTCTACTCACCGATCCAAAGTGCGGTGGTTGCAGGCGGAAGGTGATCGTCCAAGTACGGGTAGCCTAGCGTAGAGGTCGCGCTGGATCCCATCTTACTGATCAACCTGGCAACGAGAAACAATGACGTCATCCCGCTCATGGCAGCCGCCTCCTCATTGGAGCAGGAATCAGTCTCACCGCGCATGCTCGCACTCTCGTTCCCAACGTGGCACACGCCCGTGTCCGTGTCGTTCCCACCGCTGTCACCATATTCGTATTTTTCCATCAGGAAGTGTGGCAAAGCCGCCATAAAGGTAGAAATAGACATGATAATACCGGAGATTCCGATGATTCTAGGACGGTTGCCATGACTACCGAAGTAGGTCACGACGAGCAGTGACGTAATCTTGCCGATCTCCCCGATACTGAGAATCTCGCCCATCGCCGTGCTGCTCATTTGGAACCGCCGCTGGATGCTGGTCACCGAACCGGCAAATATCCCGTTATGTATGCCCTGAAATGGGACACAGAAAACTTGGGTTTAAACAAGAAAAATCTAGATTTTAAGCTTCTTGCTTTGAACCACATAACCTGGGAACTTTCAAGATAAATATAGTGGATTATTATAATATTTAGAGTGTGGTCAGGTCATGGTATATGAAAGAAATGATAAGATTAAAGGCAACCAGTGGCTGTATTTAGTCTGGCATGCCAACAAATGCTGCAGTTTGTGCATCCGCCGCACTGTGGCGCTCGTCATCCACTATGGATTGGGGATGGCAGTGAAACGGTATAACGCCCCCGGTACTGTTATTATAACAATTACACCCTCTCCCTTATGTGATACTTTGCTAGCAAATTCATTGATAACAAGGTTTCTGCTGTCACAAATGAGGTACTTTGAACTCAAGCAAAACAATCAATTAAGTAGATTCAAATGAGACACTAAGGATAATCTGTTTAGCGTACAAATTTAAGTACAGCGTTTTATGCCACTAAATGGTATATTTTGTCTGACCCTTACCTCTTCTAAGTCTATGTCTAAGTCTTACCTCTTTACTCATGACCTCAACACAAAAATAAATTTATCATTTCGTGAATAACCAAGACTCCAAAATGTAACGTCAATGAAAAGTGGTCATCAGGACGATTTGAGTATTTCATGAAAATAAAAAAATGAAAAAAACTGTGGATTATATTTATCCATCAAAGTTACCCACCTCTGCAAAGTTCAGCAGACAGAGAAAGGTCATGAACCACCGCAGGTCCCGGATGCTGACCTTGCACCTTGGAAGGTCGTCTGCAAACTCTTTCTCCGACCTGGAGGATTTTCCGTTGACATGACGGTAACCGTCTGACATCATCGGATCATCCTCCTTACTGTATCTGTTGTCATCCATTTCTAGACGTCTTACAAGAAAACGAGAGAAGAAGCATCAAGGAAACGGTGTTATGACTTGTTCTAACTCTCTTCTTGTCAAGAAATGAGTCAAGAAGTTGTTTTGAAACCTCTTTTGTTGGTCAGGACATGTTACGTAAGACACCATTGGCGCCGATGAGTTTACTTGTCAACAACTTATAGTCGCCACCGATGTCAACAATGGTTTAATAACAAACCTGTACGCTACACACACTCTGGATTTTCATTGGTAAATGCATAAACGTATGCCGCCAACTCATAAGGCCACACCGATTTACTTTGTTGGTTCTCGGAGTTTTTCAGAAAAAATATGAAGCAACAAGGCGAAAAAAATAATAAAAACAGGTCTAGGCATCCTATTATAGCCCCCCAAAATATGAGCATTTTTTAGTTGATTCAGAACCAATTTTTTGCAAATCAGACAAACATGAAGAGGCGAATCCGAGAACCAACAAATTAAATTGTTGTGGCCTAAACTGCTTTGAAACTTTGAGACTTTATAAAATCATCACAAAGGGCACCAGAAATACCATGACTATAAATTTTCTCCATACATATTAACCTCTTTGGCGCCAAAACCTTGCGGATGTCTTGCCAACTGTTACCTGATGACAGTTTTACTGAATAAGGATGGTTTGAAGGATTGACAATGACAGAGCCCGACCATAACTTTGGACGGAGCCCAGGGAATGTTATTAATATAACAAAACGGACGGCTGTTTTTACTTTGGGGACTCTGATTTCTTGCTGGGTTTGATTATGGGGAATATTATCATCATTTCCCTCGCGATATTGGACGAAAGGTCACCTAGAGTTCAACCCCCCCTCCCACAGTTTGGTTGGAAAACTGCATACCCTTTTGAGTGCTCAGTATAGGTGCAAATGAACGTGCTGCGCTTGCGCAAATAGCACTTTTTCTATTGGATGCTTAGTCAACGTTGCATCAAAATTGTATCCGTTCCATAAGATATCTTTTTTTACACAACATTTGAAAAATATACGGTATATCGCCCTTATAAACGTGAACACGACCTTAAATGATACGTTTTGTAAAAGTCGTATGCAAATTACGTTCCCCCATTTCGCGCAGGCGCAGTACGTTCTGCTGACGTACCGGTACAGATGCAGTGTAGACAAGATAGGAGAACGTACTGCGCCTGCGCAAACCCCCATTTTAGCCTTTTTTTGTCGAATTTTTGGTCAATGTTGCATCAGAATTTTGCCTGTTGTAGACAATATTTTTTCGACATAACATTTGGAAACTACAGACGGGATGTTAACCTTATATGTGCGAATACGACCTTATATGAGACGTTCTGCCGAAATGCTATGCACAACACATTACTGGTTTCGCGCAGGTGCAGTACGTTCTACCGACGTGCTAGATTGAGTCAACTTTGAAGTAAATACTGATGGAGAGAGCAGATACAAGATAGCGACAATCTGAACTAATACAGCGTTGCCAGGATGCCAACTCCTCGGCTCCAGGGTTAACATACCCCCGAGAACACTCAGTCCATTTCCCTGTTACAGATTATACTAAGACAAATTAAAAAGTTCACCCTATCTGGTACACAGAACCATATATTTTTGTCGTGTTCAAGTCCCATAACAACCTAGCCTGGGTGCCATCCCCAGTAGTATTCGCCCGCTCTATAATGTCGCTAGCTACCACTACTGGGGATGGCACCCAGGCTAATAACAGCTTATATAGGTCAATTTCTTTATACTTCATTCCAACAGCGAAACCAAATTATCCATACATGACTATATTGTAGTTACAGATATATTGTTATCGATAATAGTCTGTAGTTATAATTGTGGGATAGTTTAGTTTTGTAGGTACCTACTGTATATTTGTTGTTTTACTGTCATCCATTGTACCATGTACGATTGTCGAGCAGTATTCATTCATTCTTGTTAAACATACTTTATAACCGTATCTATACCACATGAAGTTACTACACTGTAAAGTTGCCATAAACTTAAAGGCAATGCTTTTACGAAATATTAACTTTTTTCCTACACTTTACTACGCCATTGATTACGTTGTTAATAATTGTTTATTGCCCTTTTGGCCACCTAGCTTTAGAGCCAAAGTCCACAAGTTAGATAATAACAACAACTGAGCAAGGAACAATGTGACCTCAAGTTGAATGTTACACTAACTATGATATAAAAAAATATCGTGCTTTTTACATGATATCAAACCCTGTAGAGTTACAGTGTTTTCTGTACCTTTATCATGCTACTTTTACCATTACGGAACACGTATACGTGGCTACCAACATACGACTTGCAAACTTGCAGTGAGCCCATCTTTTGTGTGCAATATGTGGACTTTTCTTGATAAAATTAGACAATAATTGAACACCAGTGTCTGTGTCCGTACGTAATGCAGACGATATTAGAAAAAAACACATTAAATCTGCACCTAATCATAGTAAGGAATATATAGAAAACACCAGTCACTGCTGAAGCACACTGAGATAGCTAACAATAACTTAACTCTGGCTTGGCGGTATTTTGTTTTGGCTCATTTTCTTCAAATATCGGGTCAGTCCAAACTTTTTGGAGTCGACTATATTTCAGTCTATACAAAATGTTAACCTCCTAGTTCTGAACTAAAACTGTACCTACCTGTTAAGTCTTCAGACAGAAGTAGAAGTCCACGTATGCTGGCGTTCTTCTCAGTTTGGCGAAGACCCGAAACACACGCGACAATTCCTCAGCAACACAGACACAGTCAAACTGAAAACTGAAAGGCTGAAACCTAAGCACAAGAATGCAGCGCTAACTTTCCTCACCCTCACCGACTTGTAGTTGAACTTCAGAGAAAAGACAACCCCACTACCGTAGATACCCAACGACACGACTGATAAATGCGCATGCGCACGGTAGGATTGTTGACGATCTGGATGTAGAGTTACTTGGGAAGTGTTCAAGCACCTTAGTTTTATTAGTTTATTTATTTATTCAACTCCTTTTCGGCCCAATATTCTAAACCATAGCATAGAAGCTGATTTTAGATCTTTCTCACTTTTAGCGCAACATATACCGTAACAATCTTTAATCTAATCTCAATATTACCCTATCGTATCCAGAACCGTGCCAATCTAGTATATGCCCGAATGGGTCAGGGTTAGGATCAGGCACAGTTCTAGATAGTCTCTGCGTACCCAAGAACGTAGATTTGACACAGGATAATCTTCAGGAATATTTCTACGGGGGCATGACCTGTATCTATCTGCCCCAGATTTTTTGAGGGCATGACACTATCGCGAGTCTGTGCCAAATTGAAACTCCAGACTGGCCAACTATAGTGACATGCCCTCAAAAAATATGGGGCAAATAGATACTCCGTCTGCATACATGTTTCAGGAAAATACTTCAATTCCTAATTTTTTCACGATACTTTTATATGTTCGCTGTTTTCATGAACTCATATCTCTACCGTGAACTTATCACTAAATGTCTTTCATGCTCTACCTACACATGGCACCACCATGAAGATTAAGAGTTACAGTATTTTTCTCGTGGAATTTTCGAACCGTAAAGACAAAGTGAATTACAGTAATTATTTTTTCAGGTGTGGTGAATGATTATAAAATTTGCTTTGGGCAGCTTCCAAATAAAATGCTGCCAAGAAGCTTGATTAATTCTTTTAAATTCCTTAAATCCTTACACACACACATTCTTTAAATCCTTAGTTGTAGTACTCTCCAAGCAAGGGTTTCGGGTTATTTTTAGCGTGTTTTTAGGCTTTTTATCAGGGTTTATTTTTTGCACTGAAATTTTTTGGGGGGGTTGTGTGAAAAAAAATTTCAGTGCAAAACATAAACCCCGATAAAAAAGCCTTAAAACACGCCAAAAATAACCCAAAACCCAAACCTCTACTTGGAGAGTATAGTTGAAGTAAATGTCTACTAGACACTTTTTGTACATGTTTGTTCTTATTAACAAACATGTACAAAAGGATTGGCCGAACATATTGACCAAAGTGACACATTTCCTGTTTTTCTAAGTTTGTGGAATGCATGTCGAATTGTCCTCGAATAACCTTGATACCAGATGTATGTACTTTGGCCGGGTGGTTAGGGGGACAGACACGAGATCGTGAGGTTACGAGTAAGGACAATGTGTCCTTGGGAAAGGAACTTTACACGACTTTCTTCACTTCATCCCAGTATGAAATTGGGTACCTGACTTTGGTTGGGAGGTAAAAGGCAGTGGAAGGAGAGGGATGGATTCTGCCTTCCAATACGGTGCCCTAAACACAGTGAACTAACAACCCGGCACTGCCCCTTTGGCCTCAAAGAAGCTACAGGACTTCCTTTACACTGTACGTTTTTTTTTAAATATTCCAACATGTAATCACAAGACGTGGTGACGGCACACTCAAGTTTTTTTCAACTTATACTAATGCCGCCACAAACACAGGGGACAAACACAATACTCATTTCAACCTGAGTGAAGTGAGGAAAGTCGTGTAAAGTGCCTTTCCCAAGGGCACAAGATCGGTGGCATGTCAGGACTCGAACCCGGGACCTCTTGGTTTTACCATATGTACAGTAAAGTTTCTCATTAACCGTTGATGTATCACCTTTGTGTCAGGCTGGTGACCTCGGAAAGTTCGATAACACTGTTTACTGTTCGATACACGGTTACTGTGGAACAGGTGGTTGCCCTTTACAAGTGAAGTACAGTAATTATTTCTTCAGGTGTAGTGGATGATTAATTTAGTCTCCTGTTTTAATTTAATTAATTAGTCTCCTGTTTCTGTATAATTGACTGTACACGCAATTAGCCTTCGGGCATGATTTTGCAAATAAACAATTCTTATAAAATTTGTTTTGGGAAGCTTCCAAATGTAACACTGCCAAGAAGCTTGATTAATTCTTTTAAATTCCTTAAATCCTTACACACACATATTTACGTCGACATATTCTGTCACATCCTGCCAAACAGCATTGCACAGAATTAATTCTTTCCGCACACTTTAAAACATGCGTAAAGATTACGTCTCTTTGCTTGCGTATACCTTTACGGATGCGTTCAGGTATGCAAAATTAATAAAACACGAAATTTACAACTCTAAATAAGTCACAAAGGCTTGATATATTCGATTTTTAATGTATTTTGGCTCACCAGTGAACGCGGTAAAATAGCTGACATTATATGTTTCTACTAGTAGCTTCCGATGTTGTATAATATCCAAACTACAATGCGTTCTTAATGTTGTGTGGATGGACAATAATGCACATTAGCCAGACTTCGCAAGAGTATACTAGACTCTAAGTTTGAACGCTTCTTATTATTTTCAAGATAGACATCTTTCTTGTGAAATAAATACAATGGCACTACCGTCACTGTAGAATAAGGTTATGACCAGAATTCCTAGACATTCTATCTGGGTGAAAGCCCATTTTGACAAAACAATGGTACACATCAGGGTTTGGAGTCAGAAAGGTCCGACTATTGCTTGATTTTCACCGAGTTCCCTCGTTATGCTGTACTCTAGCTATATATCTTGAAATGAAGCACATTTTCTATACAACTAGTTCAGTATGTAACACCGGATGACTTTTTGCTAAGAGTTGTGCCTTTTCTATTAGAAATTTCATAAATCCGCACTTATCATACCCACCCGAGTGACGATCTAGAAACTTTGTGACACCAAAATAAGGCTGTTATTTTATAATAATCAGTCGTGAGTCTACATATACCAGGACTTCGCCATGGTCCAGTAGTGCCTGATCCGGCCGCTAGGCAGCCCGACCGCTGACCTTCCCACGATGTAATAACCTTCCATGGCCTGGGAGATGACCTGGAGTACACGGGTCGGGTCAAAGGTCAAACGCCAGAGGTCAACGGGCACGGGCTGTGCGTCTATCTTGGTGGTGAGTGTGAGGAAGTAGTGCCCCTCTGTCTTGTAGCTGACCCCCGGGATTGGGAACTTGATCTGCGACTCCAGCAGCGGTTTGAGGTTTGGAGGAATGCCCGTGCTGCAGTATATGGTAAACACACCCTCAGCTGTGGAGAAAAAGGATAAAAACAATATATTTCATCCATACCATGGTATGGAGTGAAATATAAAAATGCGGTAAGCTTTAAAGCAACTACAGCTACTACGTCTACTACAACACTGTAGACTTGGCTGTCCATGAGGTGCCATTAAGGGGGCACACCCCAGTTTATTTGGCGTCTCTATTGGAGGCTGCACACCCTCAAATCTAGCGACCGTATCTGGCGTGGAATAATTCGTAAGGAGAATAACTGTATATTGGACGAAAGGATATCTCTTCAGCTACAAGACCAGCTGAGTTTGGTTTCTTCAACCTTTTTAAGTTTGGTAAAATCAACGGAAAAAACATTTTTTTCACTCCAAAATTAATGCCCAAAATTGCGAATTTTCGCGTAGGATAATCCCATAGAAAAAAATTTTCCGGCAGAAATGACTGATGCTGGCAGAAAGACCCAAGCCTTGACTATACTCGAGTAAATTATAAAGAAAATTCTAGTACTGTAATTTTCTAAACAGTCCACGGCGCGAGGGGTTGCAAATGCACCCCTACGAAGGCGCAGAGCGAAATCTAGGTCAAACGGGCGGATTACACTTGGCGCGCAAGGATACCCGGAAGTAAGGTTCGGAGCCAAAAGAAATTTTCACCCCAAAAACACCACTTCCTACACTCTTCAGCCATGTTAATGTTTAATGACACTTCGTGGCAGTTTATGAGAAATGTCACCTCAAACTTGGACCCTCAAAACCCTTTCGTCACTTTTTTACAACGGACTATCACGGACCCCGGTCGCGCAAGAACTGGGGTGTGCACCGTTAACAATGCACGAAATTCCATTAGGATCGCTACTGAGGCGTGGCCAAAAAACATTACAACATGATATAAACCATTCTATATCTACAGCATTATGACAGCGTTTTTTTACCGTTTGCCGTGTTTTCTGGACTGTCGAACACGATCTCCACGAAAGTTTGAAACTTGGGCTTGTTGTTGTTGTTGACGGTTGCCATGGTGAAGATGACGTCACACTCTCCCACAGACGACACCTGCTGTAATATCGACCAATCAATGATCAGATAACAATGGAACACTGTCACAGCCATGACAAGGGCATTATATGGAAAATCGACCTTGACTAAAGTGATAGAATTGCTCAATCTTTCGTTGTCGTTTATGTAAAGCGAAATAAGTGCGATTTTAGGGCAGCAAAACTGGAAATATTTTGAATAAGGCAATCATATTGTCACATTTGAGTCAGTATTTCATACTTTTGGCTACAGAAACAAGCCCTAAAATTATTTCTTTATTTTCTGGGCGGTACACTAAAAATCAGCCCAGGACCCTTCCAGTAGCCATTTTCCGTCAGAATTTTGGGCATTTTTAATCCGTGTCAATAGACATTGGGATAGTGTGGTTTCAACTCAGTATGTAGATAAATGACTAGAATATAGGCTCACTCCGACTCACCGTCATTTTCCAAGCCCTAAAAACTACAGTGGGTGCCTTTAAAAATCGAATAAAAGAACTTATACAGAGCAAGCAAACATACGCTATGTTGCAAATCTGTATGGTGTATTCTTCAATAGAACATGGCATTTTTGTTGTCTGTATCAGTGTATAACACAGAGCAAGCCAAATAAAGATACGATATAGAAAATCTGTATGGTGTATCCTTCAATAGAACATGGCATTTTTGTTGTGCGCCCTAAGGGACAGTGTATGATCTATCGGTTTGCTGTCACGAAATATTCAAGCCTTGTTTTTCTTTTGATACTGAAATGGTGACTGGTTTAAAAATCGAATAAAAGAGCTAACACAGAGCATTGCAAGCCAAAATACGCTACGTTGCAAATCTGTATGGTGTATCCTTCAATAGAACATGGCATTTTTGTTGCGCATCCTAAGGGACAGTGTATGATCTATCGGTTTGCTGTCACGAAATATTCAAGCCTTGTTTTTTTTTATACTGAAATGGTGACTGGTTTAAAAATTGAATAAAAAACTAACACAGAGCATTGCAAGCCAAAATACGCTACGTTACAAATCTGTATGGTGTATCCTTCAATAGAACATGGCATTTTTGTTGTATGTCCTAAGGGATAGTGTATGATCTATCTGTTTGGCTGTCACGCGATGTTCAAGCCGTGTTTTCTCTCACATCTAACACCGCATTTATCATTCACACGCCATGTCGGACAACGGATGGAACAAACCACAATACACCCGGGGGAAATTTACTAATTTGAATGACGTAAAACCATGTTAGGCCACAGCAAGTAATTTTTATGGATGACATCAGCGCGCGCATTAATTTTCGCATGATTTTGGAGAAAAAAATACAAGAAATTTTGTTGCCTTCTGACAGTGGTCACCATGCCGAAAATAGGCCAAGATGTCTGTTGACAAGCCGGAAGGTGGATGGCAGATAACTATAAAGAGAGGAGACAAGACAAGGCTCTGATTTTATGTTTTGTTTCTTACTTTGATGCAGTGATATGTGATGCTGGCTGTGTATATGTGATGTTCCCACTGAATAAAAACCATTTGTAAAATGATTGAGTCAAAATTTTAAATTGTAGGAACCTTGTTTTTTTTGTCCCGCCTTGTTTTTTTTTCGCCCGCTCGCATTAGATTTGGAGTCTGCGGAGGATGTCATCCATAAAATTTACTTGCTGGGGCCTTATGACATGCCGTGAGGAATCAGTTGGTACATTTTTAAACTGAAGAGTGACAAGATTGGTGCGATGTGCGTGACTATGGATTCCTTACATTCCACCCGAACATCTTAAAGATTCTTTAAGTCAACCCAAAACAGCCCAACATGAGCTACAAAAGGAAAGGTATTTTTACCATTGCATTGTAACATTGTGATACTAACAACATCTTTATAAAATAATGTGTTTGTATGGAACCTTTGACATATTTCAAGGTAATATGAATTCTTAAGAAAATATCATTTTTACGATTTTTAAATGTAAAAATAGAAACCAACTTTCAATATGAAAATTGCAGATTCACTTAAAATTTGATAGATAATATTCTGTGGAAATACATCGAGAATATATGTTGACCTACTTGCTAATATTGTTATGATTTCTTAAATCTTATGACAGCAAAGTTCGTTTAGATTTAATTTCATATTTTGTTGTAATTTAAAAGCTAACGAAACGAGACAAAACATAGCACAAATCTTTCCAGTTATTTCAAGAAATCGCTGAAGGTTTTCTAATCTATAGTAATGGGGTCACCTTGGGGTTTCTAAGTAACCGAATGTCAACAAATCTTCGATACTACACAATGATAATACCTATCGTCTATACTACGCTTCTACCATCAGTTGAGCCCTTACAATATCGAGAACAATCATTGTAACGTTGTCACTAAACTAATATATGTTGGAAAATAGAATACACTGAATCGTTTTACCGTTTTAGTCAGAGGTTGCTGCCTTGAACAGGTATGCCTGAAGAAGAGCTTTTCTTTGCACGGGAACCGTTATAATTAATATTTTATGTGGAAGTCGGCGAACTGCAAACAGAGACATCTAGCGGCCAAATGTCAACTGCAGCAAAGTCAGCTTGGATTACGCTATCACTAAGGCGTGGCTTACTACATGTAATGCCATACTCTAAGCTACAAAAGCTTTGTTTTTAAGCGAAACCTAAGACATAGACAGACGTTTTAATTTCACTTGCAATAGACAGGAGTCCTTTTTGAAGTACACCCGATATTCAGCTATTATTTACAATCCTTTGGAGTTAGCTCAATCGTTTTGTTGACACACTACAGCAACTTGAAAAGACAAGCTCAAATTTAGTCAAATCTATCCACATCTGAAGCCCCCTGCTAGAGGTGCGTAGCAAGTAAAGGTGGTCGGAACTGCCCAAGAATTTGGATGGATTTTAACTCTAAAATGATGTAGTTTTCCCTACTTTGACGTTTTTACCATCTTATGATTCAGTAAACAACATCTTAGGGATGGCTAGGGGACCACCAAAGGTACCGCTGATCAAAAGGTAGGTACTGATTTTTTGTCGTGAATTTTTTTGTCGATTGAACTGATTTTTGTTGTTGTTGTGTGTTTTGTGACGAGGTTTCGACAGGGCTAAACGTCGAAGGGAATCTACAACAACTTTTTTCCATCACAAGACTGATGAATTTTGTACGACAAACCCACAACTCTAAGAATACCTAGTAGACATTTTCTGTCGTAAACTTATCTTCGGACGAATTTGACCGGATCCTTCGTACATTAGTGTTGACCATACACCTACAGAGTACGTTGGTTAGTGGTACTACTGCAGTGTATATATGTGATTTGTTGACGCCATAGCTACACTGAAATTCATCCGTATCCACTATAGTTCCTTTGTTGATAAAAATAGGTCGACAAGGGTCCGTTTCAGTTGGAAAAAATTACAAACTTCTTATTTTTTTTACCGTCCCGTAACATATCAAACACAACGTCGTCACAAAAAAAATGAGAAAAACGAGTTTATGATCACTTTCAAGAATCCAAAGATTGAAAGAAATGCGGCTTTTTTTAGTTTCTCATTTGTATATGTACAGTAAATAAAAGGCTTTATTAAGTACAATGTTCCATATGACCTCTCTATGTTGTACCCAGAGTGAAGGTTCTGGCGGGTTTTGGAGCCGCAGCAACCATTGTTGGTTGGACGATGCTTCTCACCAGCATGGCGCTACCTGATTGGATGACATATAGCTACCCTCCAAACAACACCAGAACGGTGGTCAGCCTGTGGACGGAATGCGTCACCACTACTGGACCAAACGGCACAACCTCCACTTGTTTAGGATATATGCGTAAATATCTTTGCAATTCTTCTTTGTATCTTTAGTATTAAGTGAAAATGGTGCCCGTACTAACTACTAAAGAACCAAATGCCAGTTCAGAAAAGAACAAGAAACAGTCATGCCTTCAAGTACCAGAGTTACCAACCAAGGATCCTAGAACTATTGTAGAGTGGAACTCGCTACCACCAAGTGCAGTAGGGGCATCATCACTAGGTAGCTTTAAACAATGTTTGGAATTAGATGTGCAAACGCTAGGTGTAACCAGTTAAAAAGAATAGATTTTAAAAGAATCTATGTACAATGTAGTTGTTTGAGTGACTGTTTCCTTGTTATTTCAAAATTGTTTTAATCAATTTACATGACAAATTTCAAAATTATCTTAATCAGTTTACATGAAAACGGCTTGACAATATTTTTATGACTTTTCATTGTTACGACAGTATCTCTGGATGGCGCTGGTTGGTCGTGGACGCTGACGCGATGCAGTATGTTACACGCCTTCCTATTCGCCATCGGCGGCCTGGTCTCCTTCATAAGTTTCCTACCGGAAAGGTCTCTCACCATCCTGGCGGCAGGCGCCGTCTGCAACCTGGTGGCAGGTCAGTGACCTTATAAAGCTGTTTAAAGTTAAAACTTTTGGTCCAACACAAAAAATTCTCTCACCTAGAGCTTTCGACCAGTCACTCTGGTCTCTCTCAGTAGACTGACCCAGTGAAGCTTGTCACGTGGCTTCTTTGAAGTGTGACGTCAACACTGGGTCAAAGGTAGACGATGTCGGCCCCCGTCGCGGTTCAATGAATGGTGATGGGCCCTGATGTATATGGCTTCCTTCGCCCCTCTCAAGAAATAGTCTTGTTCAGTGTCCAAAATATTTTGATACCTTTGACATATAGCAGTTATTGGTTAAATTTAGTAACTTTTCCATGTGATTTTTCTCCACAGCTGGACTGACTATCATGTCCATGATTGTCTTCACCGTCGCCATTCTCGTTCCCATGACGGCATCGCTTACGGCCTCTGGGCACGAGAACGCCGCTGCCGGGACAGGCTTCTACTTCGGGTGGGTGTGTACCATTCCTAACGTCATAGGGGGGATCCTGGGCATCAAGACCGCTACAGTACACAACAAGGTAGTCAAGGAGAAGGCCATGAAGCAGCTGAAGTTGTTCATGGAGTCCCAGGCTAAGGAACAGGAAGAGGCTCAAGAGGAGGAAGACACGAAGGCTAAGGTTAAAGCGTCACCGTGGGGAAAGGTTGCTTTAACCAACGGGAATAAAAACGTACTTGGACTTCCGAAGAAAAAATTTCTTGCTCCGATCGTGGATGTGGATAGAGGCATGGCTCCAATTGACTAGATCAATCAGATACTAAACGGATGTATCTCTTTTTTATCTGTATATATGTGTATAAAATTTTGTATGCCTATCTTGACATGTGACTCGAGCATGCACAGTGGACAAATGTAGTAGGTAGTCTGTGACATCCTCCGTCTCGGCTCATGTTCCATAGTGTAAAAAAGAATCACTGCACAGTTTCCGATCTTGAAGCATATCTTCAAACATTCGTAAATGTTTCATTTTCCATTTAAGTGAAGAAACAGGACACTTTCTTTACGCATACTTTATGTGAGCTTAAAGATAGAATTTGATGTAGTGAATCTGCCTAGTAATAAGAGAACCTTAATGCAGTGCAGATGAAACTTGCAGTCCTTAAGTCAGGGTCAATTTGTACAGATAACATGTGGAACTGCAGTGCATCTTTGCGAAGACGAATTGTAAAATACTTTTAGACATCGATACACTTTTTACGAACATTAAATCGTTAAACCTGCAACTTGTGTCACGAGTATCCTTTGATAAATACGAAACAGCGTTATGTTTTAGACATTGAACAAAATAGAAAGGCTTAAATCAACATGTGCTGTGTATTGTACTAAAATAGGGCCGTTACCTTAAACACTAGTATTAGTTGTAATGCCAAGGCCAACTTCTTGTTTAAATACGTCACTCAAAATAAGTTTTACGCGACATAATTATTGATACATACCAGGATAGTGCCTGATAAAAGCCCTTTGTTCCCAAAACGTGTTATAAAGTAGACATATCTACAACCTGGCGATATACTAAATGTTAATGTAATCTAAATCGGCTGTAATTTGTTGTAGAAAGATATGGAAAACGTAAACTGGAAGCACGTGGTCTCCATGTGCATTTACCGATACCCCTGACCATGTAGTACTGATATGTTAATAGTTAGTAACAATAGCAACAATAGAAAGCTTGACGAACCTTGCATCAATGCACGTTAAAACTTTATAAAGAAATTGTCCTGATTTTGAACCCTGTACAAAGTGGGACGTTTCTGTCAGCGTGGGTCTGAAAGAGCACTTGGTTCGTGTCGATTCTGCACATTCTACCGTATCCAAGGCACAAAGGCATGCGGCGAGACAAGCTCAGACCTACGGCACAATATCAAAACACCAGCCGATAGTCTGGTCGGTCAAGGACTACTAGATACACGTACCACTGCCCTTACGGATCCGGTAAGTAGTGTCTCATTGTTTCTTTCAGTGACGAACTTTCTCCTTTTTTTCTTTACGAGTTTTCTTTTTCATGTTACATCCTCGCTACGTTTTTAAAACTATTCTTATACGTATATAGGTTATTAGGTGAGGTATAGGTAAGGTGTGAATGGGAAAATATATATATAGGGACCTTTCGAACTTGACGGATCTGGATATTGTTACACAAACGCACGGGCACACACGCACATAGAGAGAGATACGCACACATACACACGCACACATACACACGCACACACGCACACACACACACATATGCACACACACAGGCGCATACGTGTACCCATACACACAGGTATAGACATATACCACCATTACACGCACACCTGTACATAAGGAACAGTCAAGCGTATTTCTACCCTTCCTTTCTAAAGTTTGTAAATTATTTTACCGTCTGGAAAACCGATTTCGGACTGTCCTCCATATGTTCTCTAACTTTTGCTCCAAACTAAATAGTTGTCAGTTCATTTGACAGGTCATAGAACCTAAACCTAGTCAGATCTTTTTATGAAAGCTCTAACGCTTGATACAAAGTATTTGTGCAGGTGTTTTTTGTTGTTTTTAAAGTTACTTCCAACAACATCTGCACACCTTGCCACATGTATTTATAACGTTGATAGGCGGACCAAAACCACTTGAAAAGTAACCCTACTCAAGGCCAAGCAGAGGTGTACTCAGGCTTCGGCTTATTTTGGCGTGTTTTAATTTTTTCAGGGCTCTCTTTTTTGTAATGGTATCTTTCTTTACACCAGCCTCGGGTGGCAAATAGCTTAACTGTGTGGCAAATGGATACTGCCTGACGGCCCTGACCAATTTCATACTGTCTCTGCAGCCACCGAAACATCTGCTTGGAAATTAAAGTAACCCTTCCGATGGTTTTAACCGAGTATTATTAGCCAAGTTTTAACTGCCGAGTCTCTTTTGTCTTCTTTCCTAAAGTTTGCAATGATACAATAGAAAATGGAAATAATACAATAAGGATAATCAAATAATATAAGGTATAAATTATACGGTATAGAGCTAGCTGCATATTAGCGTTATCTCGAGTGGCGTCTGATATTTCTTGCTCTGGAAAGAGTTAACTTCGACCTTCACCTCACACTAAACGGTTTGTCTGGACGTTCGTGCTTTGGGGTCATTTCAAACAAATCACTAATAGATGACTTATAGTTGCCGCTTAAGCCAGAGAGACACTGTGATTGAACGATTGAAGCAGTTTGTCTACGTTCCTATTCACAAATCAATCAGAAAACCATAGGTTTAACTAAAGATGCGAAGTTATTTGCGGTAAATTTATGGACAGGTATTTCTTATCAGAGAGAAAACACTCCCGTTAAAAGTAGCAAAGTCTGAGAAATAAGAGCCATGTTTAAACAGCCGGATGACATGTGTAGATAACGTGCCTTTCATCTCGCGTTATCTGGGGTTAAAGGTCAAACAGTTGCCATGGCAACACATGCGAAAGTCGTCTGGTATCGTCTGAAGTGGCGTGCGGAACCCGCTGTGGCGCTGGCCGCCATCTTGTTGCCATGGACGACTCAGAAATGTTCCCACATGCCGAGAACTGAACGGATAAACTCAAACACTGTCCCCGATAACTCTCTACGTTTTGTGGACCTATAGCAAACAGTAATTTACTACGCAATTTTGCCAATTATACTGATCATACTCATAATACACAGATTTTACTGTCACAGATAGTACTAAATTACTAATCCTTTCATAAATCGCGGACATGATTTTATTACTTTACCACATGTGTTTTTGTTGTAAGTAAGATTCGTGGATTAGTGATGTACAAAATTATCCATGAATCGTTTGTTCAGCTCTGTTAAGCCCGAGTCCGACTTTGAAATGGCCGCATTTAATACTACGTTTAATACTACTTTGTAATGGAGAAGTCGTAATACGTAAAAAGTAGTATGTACATAACACCATCAAAAACATGGCTATCAGAGATGGCAGACTTCACCCCCTCGGTGTGACACGCAGGTCAGAAGAACACAGACGTACAGACCGACAAAAATAATGCCTCGCTTCCTTGAAGTGACGTATACTAACTGAAGACGTTTTACATTACATGCAAAAATGTGGTCTCTTTCTTTAGGTGCCGTTCGAAACTTCACCACTTGTTATATTTTAGAGACGATGGAATTTTAATCTTCATCTTATCAGCAGTGACTTACGGTAAGAAGCCGGCGGCTTATGGCGTAATTACTTACTGTTTATTTTGACGCCTTCGTTACGCAAACAGGAGTAAGAGAACTTACGCGATGTGCTGTGCAGGAATCATAAGCATGTTAGTCCTGACTGATATACTTCATTCTTGTGATGAGTGTTGTTTATTATTATCTCAGCAATTTCTAATGAAAAATATTTGATAAAATGGACATTGTATATCGTTCATACTCGTACAACACATACATTACAGCACATGAAACACCCTACAAAAGTAACGCAAACAAAAAACACACATACAAAACAAAGACACCTTAGAACATATACAACACTCACAACAAAACACATAAAGCACACAACGCATAATTATACACACAACACTTTACAACACAGAACCGCACAACACAACGCAACACATTACAACACAAAACACCTTACAACGCAACATATCAACCCATATTTCTCCTTACTACAATAAACCGTGCAAAACTGTAAAGGCTTTATTTGATACTTTAATCCTTTATCACACAATTTACTCTTTGACTCATGTAATGGGTCCAGTGCGACAGGTGGTTTATTCTTCTCTAAAACTATCCGTAAACTCCCGGTCAGGTCTGCAAATGTGCTCACACACTCGTCTATAGTCCCACTGGTAATCATTAACTCGGTTGACCAACACATGGCGACGTTTGGAGACTAATTGAGTTTACTGGGCACGAAGTTGGTTGGTCGACGGGTCTTGGTGAAAATCACAGACCTCTACTGCGATTTAAACTAACGTCAGAGGCACAATATCTGTTGCATGTGACACCCAGGGGTTTCAAGAACAGAGTGACAGAAATATCTGGTATGTAAAGAATTTTAAGTCTTCTCTTACCGTGTTGTACAGATTGTCATTTGCAAGTCATGGCCTTGTACTTTGTGATACTAATGTGAATATAATTGCCTGTCATTGCCATTTTTAAAATAAATGCATGACTACAATGCAATTAAAATTGCACTGTACTCATGCATTTATTTTCATTGTATACTTTGTATATTAATTGTTTGAAAAACTGTTCTACGGAATACAAGGCCGTTTTTCTGATTTTCTTTTGGTGGCCAAAGAGACCTGTCTGAATGTACTAAATATTTCGTGGGTGAAGCTAGTGTACACAGTATATCATGATTGTTTGAAATCTCTTAATTTGTATTTATTTATATGGTACCGGTAGTGTACTATTTGTCTTAGCTAAGTACTAATGTAAAAATGCTACAGTCGCAGTGAAGTACTAGCTAGAAATCTACTTTTTTTCATTATTTGATTCAGTGAAGCTGTATTTGAGGTTACACAGCAAAGTACACTGTGGCGATGTACACAGCAAAGTAGGAAAAAACACTATCAATCAATGGTTCTTGTAGTGTCAGTCAATTAATTGTATCGGCAAAGTACATATCATATCAAGAGGTCCCTGGTTCGAGTCCTGACATGCCACCGATCTTGTGCTCTTGGGAAAGGCACGTGCACTTTACACGACTTTTCTCACCAAAAATAAGTATTGTTTTGTCCTGTATTTGTCCTCTGCGTTGGTGCGTTGGTGGCGGCATTAAATAAGTTGATATAACTTGAGTGTGCTGCCGCCATGTCTAGTCATGAAATGTTGGAATATATCATTTCGTCATCATTAGATGCAAACTCAATTCGATTTTGTATGATAAAATTGATGTACAAGGTCGTGCAATATTTTGGTTCACCCTCCGCCATTTTTGTAACAGAAAAAACAAAACAAAAGCTGAAAGTTGTAAAATGCCTCTACCCTGGGCTTCTGTCAGGTTGTAACTGTTTTTAAAGTCATTTTTTCTATCCTAGGCTACCCTTTCCTTTTTACTACTGAGTTTTTACGTATTCTCTCTATTCGTGTTTCTCTCATTCTTTCTGTCCATGTCTCTCTCTGTGTGCCTGTCTGTATCTCTCTCTCTCTCTCTCTCTCTCTCTCTCTTTCTGAATGTCTGTCTCTGTCTCTCCCCATCCACCCATCTAGTCATCCATCCAGCCAGCCAGCCAGCGTGCAATATT